ATTTGTTTTATTTTGCTTTGTGACTTACTTTGTTCTGTCTGTTATTACTTGAAACCACTTAAATCCTACTTTTTATACTTAATAAAATCACTTTTGTTTATTAATAAACCCAGAGTAAGTGATTAATACCTGGTGGAGCAAACAGCTGTGCATATCTCTCTATCAGTGTTATACATTTATTTATTTACCCTGTATAAGCTTTATATAGAGTAAAACGGATTTACTTGGGGTTTGGATCCCATTGGGAACTGGGTGCTGGAGACAGGTAACCTGCTAAGCTGTTTTCAGTTAAGGCTGCAGCTTTGGGAGCGTGGACCTGACCCTGGGTCTGTGTTTGCAGCAGGCTAGTGTGTCTGGCTCAACAAGACAGGGTTCTGGAAGTCCCAAGCTAGCAGGGAAAACAGGCTCAGAGGTAATTTCAGCACATCAGGTGACAGTCCCAAGGGGATCTCTGTGACTGAACCCGTCACACCTCCCACTGAATCATTCTGAAGATTTTGATCTCTTTTGCACAGTTGTGCTGAACCCGATGGAATTACCCCAGGTTTGCACAAGTGTAGCTGAGATCGGAATCTGGCCCTCAGTACCTAGAGAGTGAGCGGACCGCAAACTTCAGTTATAGTGCTGGACACTCAAACAGAAGGGGAGCAGTGATAAGTCTACATGGCACATGCATGCCATAAATCCCAGTTATTCCGAGAGCAGCAAAGCACTGGAGAGGAAGGAGGTGCGGAATACTGCAAACTGATCCGCGTTAAGAAGATGAACCCAAACAGAGAGGGAGGCTTGCAAAGACACTGAGAAACAGCAAATAACCCTCCCCTCTCCTCCCAATATTGAGCTCTCTGCGTTTATGTCTTAAGATAAGCTCGGCAGTGACACAGATTTACTTGCTCCTGGCTCTGGTTCCTTTTTGAGCACTCATATTTTATTTATTTTTAATCTTCTTTGGGGAGCCTGGTATCAAAGCTGCAATAGACTTGCGCTCTGCCCATATGTTCTGTTTGATGACATCTTCTCAAGTTCCCTAATATCTGTCCACAAGTACAGAGACACTCATAAGCCACTCACAAGTACAGACACACTTGTTCTTTTCTCTTGACATTCATGATATTCATACTGGCACATCAGAAGAAAAGGTCGATTGAAGCCCAGAGCCTTAGTTACATGAAGCTCCATCTATAGGAAATGAAAGACCATTTTTCTATCATACCAATCTGTCAAACTGTTCCTCCATTGACAGGAGAGACAAACACCGCTAAAGAATGTATTCTGTTGTCAGATTTATTCCAGGATTTCTACCTGCATTCATTTGCCTGTATCCCACTCATTACTAGTATTATTTATACAGCATTGCAGGTGTCCACGGGGTACCTTACAGTCCAAATAAGACATAACAGAGCAAGTAATAACAAATAACAGCAGTGATGGGGGAAAAGGGTGAGAAGGATTTAATGCCCTTGTCATTTATCTCAGGCTCTCCCGTATCAGAGTCCTTTCCCCATGAAGTCATTCTATGGATTCCAATGTATATTACTGCTGCTTGTGTTAATATTTTTCTATTCATTGGCTGTCAGTCCATTACTGTTGCATGTTTGCCTTGTCTTGTTTTTCATTGCATATATTTTTTCTCTTTTTTTTCCTTAAGAAAATTAAAAAGGAACAAAGGATTCATGCCAGCATCAAGGCTGAAATGTGGATTGCAGGGCCTTGTAATGTGGCACACCAGGTTATGGGGGGAGAGCAAGGAGGATTACTGGAAGGTGTTCACACCACAGGAAGCCCCATCAGGGAGGGAAAAAAGATCCTATTCTGTTAAAAGGAATTGGCTGGGAAAATCCTAGCCGGAGAGGGAAGGCTGACATAGTTTGATCCTATATATTTAACACAACAAACTTTGAACTGAAGTAAGAACTGGATCAGGCCCTTAGGTACTTTCCATTAAGAATGACCTCTAGCCAAGGGGTTCATGTTCTCTACAGATGTCAGTTCAGCAAAGGGAAGATGTTCTATGTATGGCATTCAGACACTGGTAAGACCACACACAGAGATGCAGAACCATTCTGCTGACTCACCTGGCAGCTAGATCTGGTGGTTCCTTTTAGCTCTAAATCAGGTGGTTTAAAAAGTTGTATCTCTCAGGCAAGAGGGAACTAGATACTGGGGCAGAGGAGTCATGCAGGAATAAACCTCAGGAACAGCAGTGCTCTGGAGAAAGTTGAGGCTTGTTATTTAAGTTAACAAAGAAGGGAAACCTTAGGAACCAGGTAAGTTTGGAGACTATCCAGGGTGTGTGCTCTGTTAGAAGCAGGGAGGGAGCACTACCTGCTTAAAGGGATCTTGCCAGTTATTTTAAAAGAAAGTCATGTACATCCTTTGAGTTTTGCTTCTTCAGTCTATAGAGGATTCCAAACAATGGGGGTGGGGAGGTTGTGGAGTTTGACATCCCCTTCTGAATACAAATCAGCCTTCTGTCCACAGTCCAGGGGAATTCATGAGAAACTTGACAAGAAATACAACACAAGATTTGAACCTGGACCCAGCCCCATCCTAACATAAAGTTCAAGGTTCTAAGTATGGTTCTGGAGTTTTGTTTCAACCCAGTATTTTATTAGGGGTCTTCTGCAAAACCTGGATTCAGATCTGATCTAACACAATGGTCAGGGATGTTTGGATCTGGGATTTTGCTTCAGGTCCATCTATAACTACACAGGTACAGAACAATAAATGCCAGGCTCAATAACTCATAGAGGCAGCTGGCCGAGCAAAGACAGAGAAGGGGACTGGGCTTTGGAACCATGGGTAATAGTGCAGGAATGATTTGGCATGTGCTGCTTATCTGCTGCTCTGTTCAGAGTGGTAATAGAGAAGCAAGAGGGAAGGAGAAGAAAAATAAAAGGCACAAATGAATTAAAAGAAGAAAAATCTGATTGCAGGATCCTGTCCATCCAAAGGAAATAAAAATAAAGACACAATCTTCTCTCCCAGCCAAAATGGACATGTTAATCTCCATGAGACTCAAATACGCCAGTGGTTGGCAATGGGTGGATGGGTAGACAGATGGCTAAACTACACTGATTTCAATTCATGGAACCTGGTGTTTAACTACCACAATGTCAGGCCGAGTTAGCACCACATGATTATTTAGCCTGTACAATACCAATAGTGTTTAATGCAGAATAGAAATATCTGAGACGATGCTCTGAGACTGGCCACTTAATGAGGAATTTGAGGTGTTAGCTCAGAAATGCACTTGGGGCCCCAATTCTGCCATGGAGAGTCATGTAGTGTCTGCTGAGGGACGCATAGAGAGTACATTGCTGCTTAATTAACACGCAGAGCAGAATAGAGAACGAGCCGCTCTCCTAAATTCCATCGCATTAACAAGCAAGAAAAGGAAAAAGCCAGCGCCCATTGGAGCATAGGGCCCCATCCTGCCAGGTGCCCAGATCCCTCAACTGCCTGTGGAGTCAGTAGGAGCTGAATGCACTCCACACCCAGCAGGAGGCGCTCTGCACATCACAGGCTCAGACTCAATGGAACAGGATTTAAAGGGACACGGGTCATTAAAACGTGGAAGCGGATTTGGGCCTTGTGTTTCCAAAAATGCAATGATATTTAAAACATAACAACAGCTACCTAGGCACTCAGCCAACGAATGGTCACAGATTAAATTAATTCCATGCTGGCTTCACAGTAATGTGCTTACCTCACTTACCTTACTCTAAAATGTATAACCACTGTTCAATAACCAACATTAGAGTCTCTCTTTAGCTTGTAATTAAACATTAATCTAATTTGCCTGGAGATGACTGGAGCCACCAAGCATTGCTATAACAGCCCATGCCTTTTCCCCAGCCCACCGTATTCCACCTGCTTTCCCTGCCTTTTCTCACTCTTCTCTATCCTGGGATCCTTGCTAGCCTGATTCTGCAAGGGGCATGAACTTCAATGGCTGAGTTTACTCCCCAAACTCTCCAAGTATCAATATCTGATCTCCTCTACTTCCCGAAAGGTCCCTCCTGTGGGCCAGACCCCAGTTTCCTAAGTGAAATTGTTTACTGATGGTCTATGTTATTCAGAATGGCAGCACATCAATACCCAGCGGTTAAGTTTATTAGGTTTCCTGGGGCAGTCCGAAAAAAACATTTACTACTGTAATTAGAATAACTGCCCAAACCCTATTTGTGTATTGTGCTGAGCTGGGGAGAGCTGCTGGGCAGGTATTGACAGAAGTGCTCTGACGGATCAACCCATTTTCCTTGTCTTGGGGACCCTCAAAACAAAGCTGAGCAGTTCTGATTCCCTAAGGACATTCAGGCAGACAACCCTGATAGCTGACCAGAGACCATTTATGGCTGAGCTACGGAACTCACTATTCCTTTACAGGTGGTTTTTAACAACAGTTCAGTGCATGTGATAAGCACTTTAATAGGTTAGAAAAAAAGCCCTACTAGGGGCAGAATCCCACACTGGGCCAGGAGGCCTGATAAAGCCCTACACACCACCTTACACCCCCACCAGGGCTGCACCAGGGTTGGCAGTGGAGTGGAGGGGCAGTAGTTTGGGCCACTGCACTGTCATGAACAGGCTGGTGGCATGGGCAGAACTATGGGATATAGGGCTTTGTGAATCCATTGGCCCCAACACCTCCCACAAATGATATGAAAGGGCTTCAGTTGCGATTGAGTCCATCGATTAGACAAGCAGCTGCAAGCTCCTCTGCCAACTCCTATCGTGGCCTTGGTTTAGCAGGATCGATATTGCCTCCCCAGCACAACCTCCCAACACCTCATCTGGCTTTCATGCAGCTAGCCTCGCCCAGTCAGACTGGCAGGTTGTCAGAGCAGAGACAGCGGGAACTATTTCCAAATGGAGGAAGTTGAAAGCAAATCAGTCCAATTCCAAGCAAAGAGTCTTGGGTTTCACGAAGGAACAAAACACTAACACAAGAAAGAGGAAAGCTCCAAGGATAATAGATAAGGCAATGCCACATCTACCTTATCTGGTTCTCATAGTTGTCCATCAGGAAGGACCAGTGGTACTTGACGAGAAGCGGGCTGCAGTTGGTCATTTTGATGTTATGTACAACCTCGGTGTCGTTCAAGATGCAGCCGAAATCCAAATCCATAGTCTGGAAGTGGAGGTTTGGGAAGTGCACTTCACCCCGAAGGGTGACCTGGTCCTCATGAGGGTGTTCCAGATACCGGATAGTCAGGACCTCCTCTGCAACCCGGGTGTTCAAATCCTTTCTGTAGGAAGGGTCAAACCTGATGGAGAGATGCTGCTCCTCTCCGGTTTCTAGTGTCCTGGGCTGCATTGAGACAGACAGGGATTAATCACTGTTGGACTGAACTTTACCAGTCCAATGGTGTGAAATGCACAAACACACATTGACAATCCATGAAAAAACCGCGGGCATCTCAGCCCATCCATCTCTGAGCCTCATTATAGCATGTCTAAGTGTCTGGCAGATCAGCCCACAATGAGTCGCGTTTCAGACCTTCTCAGATTCACACACATTCCTCTGCATTGCATCAATACAGCAGAAAGTTTTGCTGAATTTTGAACCCCTCAAAGTTTTGACTAACCAGTACATTGCTGGGTTCATGTTGAGACTAAAAAAAAGCAAACAGTACAGAGAGAAAAAAAAGCCAATGGAAGAAATAAAGACAGCATATTGTGAACTGGCTGTGATTTGTGTGTCACTATTGCTCCTATATAAAACTGTATAAAATAAGAACTGCTCCTCTGTGTGTCATAAGCCCTGTACTGTTAATAGTTATAGAGCATCTCCTGCAACTGAAGTTCTAGGGCATGGTGCTTTTTGAGCAGGAGGATCTGAGGGTTAGCTCTGTTGTCACTATTAAGTGGCTACTGTTTGCAGCAAATTGGTAACCACAAAGTCCTAGATACGAGGAGTCGTTCCCCTATCACTAATACACAGCACAGGATTCCCTATGTTCCTAGTTTTGTAAGTGAATATCCATTTGGGTGGGGGGAGGAAACATGAGTCAAGAAAAAGGGTCAGGAACTCAAACTAATTCTGTCAACCCCAAAATTAGTCTGAGGTTTGCAAAACCTCAAGCTCCAATGGCTTTGCCCAACCCAAACCGAGGAGAAAATCTCCTGCCAGGAAACGATGTGGCAATTTCATGCAATACTGTGGCAAGTGTGATGAGTCAGCAGGCCTGATTCTGATCTCACCTGCACTGCTCATCATTTACACAGGCGTGTGAGAACACGAGGCGGCTGGCTGGAGCAGGGGCTGGCTAGTGTGAAACAGGCATGGACTAGGGCAGGAGCCGGAGCAAGGGCAGTCTACCAAAACTACTAGGCACGGGGAGTGCTCCTGGCCAGGTAGTGATATTGAGCAAACTGGAGCAACTGCCTCCCTTGAACAGCCTATACACCAGCCTTGGGATCATAGGCGCCAACTTCCTCTCTACCTGGGGGTGCTCAACCCCCCCC